TTAGTTCTATTACTGTTATAAGATGCCTTTGTCTTTCTGTCAGAGGTATGGAGAATGTAACACCCATCCTAAGGGAATACTTAGATCATAAACTAATTTTCAGAGTTCCAGTTCGTTATGTGGTTCATAGAATCAAGAACTACCCAAATAAATCTTCAACAGTGAAGGATTGACATAAAAACAGCCCAAGGAATGAGTCTCTTTGCTTATTTTAGTAAACTAAAATTAATAGGATTTTTGTTAGATGATCACCTCACATCTCTGTTCATTGGTACCATCATACCATTCTGTGCATTAATTTTTAACTATACCTTTATATTTATATATAATCAGTTTGCCGGTTGTACAGCTTATCATTTACATTTGACTTTCAAATTAGTTCCAGAACCAAGAAAATAAAATACAAAGAATTTCAAAACCTTAATTTTAAAGTAGCAAGAACTCAGTCTAATCTCAGTCTAATCAATTATGAGTTGGGCTACATAATGGTTAAATAACCATTAAACATTTAAAATTTTTTGACTAGTGAATCTAGTAGAGATTAGCATCTGTAAACAATTTATTTTTCTGATGAAACTCTAAGAGCCTAGTTTCAGAGCATGGCTTCAGAAACAATCTTGGGCCCGGCTGGTGTAGCTCAGTGGTTGAGCTTCGACCCACGCACCAGGAGGTCACCGGTTCGATTCCCGGTCAGGGCACATGCCCAGGTTATGGGCCAAATCCCCAGTGAGAGGCATGCAAGAAGCAGCTGATCAATGTCTCTCTCATCGATGTTTCTATCTTTCCCTCTCCCTTCCTCTCTCTAAAAATCAATAAAGAGAAAATTAAAAAACAAACAAACAAAACCTTGGGTTGAATCTGAGCTCTGTTACATACTAGCTGTGTAATCTTGGGCAAGTTGCTTAACCTCTGTAAGCCTATTTCTTCATTTGTAGATGGTGACACCACCACCTACTCACTTTGTAATGTGGGGAGGATTAGAGATGTATATAAAAGTGCTTAGGCCCTGGCCGTGTTCGCTCAATGGTTAGAGCATCGGCCTGCAGTCCAGAGAGACCCTGGTTCAGTGTCCTCTAGGGGCACGTACCTCAGTTGCAGTTTGTCCCTGGCCCTGGTTGGATCGTGCAGGAGGCGGCCGCTCAATGTGTCCCTTTCGCGTCGATGTTTCTCTCTTCTTCTCTCTCCCTCCCACTCTATCTGAACAAAAGATGGAAAAATGTCCTCGGGTGAGGATAAAAAAAAAAAGTGCTTAGTACTTCCTAATACACAAAAGTTGCCCAATAAATGTCAGCTATTACTGTCATTCACTCTTACTAACCTTCAACTATGTGTTCATTATGGGAAACGTTTGAACAGCAAATATTTAGAAAAAAATGTCAACATTACACAACTAAATTTAAAAGTGGAGAATGGCAATAATGTTAAATTTCCCAGGAGTATGTATGAAAAGTAGCACTTCCTTGATGGAACTTACATTTTTAGAACAGAAACCTTATGGTATAATGGACACAACATTGCAGAGTTCAAATCTTTAGTTCTAATTCTGGCTATAACCTTATCTAACTAAATGGCTTTTGACAGGCTAACTGCCTATTCTGGTGCTCAATTTCTTCATCAGACTGGACTTGATTAATCTCAAATAATTTCTAAGATCCTTTGCAACTTCAGAATTCTTTACTGCATGTAATAAAAGTTACATTAGCTTATCACTCTACTCTTCATTGTGTTTTTGTTGTTTTTTGTTTGTTAACTTGCAATTCAGAGTCATAAGCAAGTCATAAGGAGAGCACAACTAAAGAACTGATAAAATATTATCAGACTTGCATTCTTTTGATAAGGCAAAAGTTAACCCCAGCCCTGGCTGGTATGGCTCAGCTGGTTTGAACCATGTCTCATGCACTGAAGGATTGCAGGTTCAATTCCTAGTCAGGGCACATACAGGTTGTGGGTTCAGTCCCCAGTCTGCACGCATACAGAAGGCAACTGATGGATGTTTCTCTCTCACATCGACATTTCCTCTCTCTCTCCCTTCCTCTCTCTCTAAAATCAATATATATATAAAGTTAACCCCCCCAATTTTTTTTTAATGGTTGGATGTCATTTGTATTTTTTTTCTTTTTTTAAATCTTTATTGTTCAATGTAGAATGTATTACAGATGTTCCACATTTTTCCCCCTTGACCCTCTCTTCCCCACTCCCGCCCCCCTCCCGCCTTTTCCCACACTATTGTCTGTGTCCATTGGTTATGCATATAAGTTCTTTGGTTTATTTCTTCCCACCCCCCCAACCCCTTTCCCTTTGAGGTTTGTCAGTCTAGCAACGAATTTGTACTTCTTAATCCCTTCACCTTTTTCACCCATTCTCCCAACTCCCCTCCCATCTGACAACCAACAAAATGTTCTCTGTATCTATGAGAATGTTTCTGTTCTACCTGTTCATTTTGTTTGTAGATTCCATTGTTGATAGATATGTATTCATTGCCATTTTGTTTGTTCATATATTTTATCTTTTTCTTCAAAAAGACCCTTCATCATTTCATATAATAACGGTTTGGTGGTGATGAACTCCTTTAGCTTTTTCTTGTCTGGGAAACTCCTTATATGGCCATCAATTGTAAATAACAGCTTTGCAGGACAGAGTAATTTTGGTTGTAGGTTCTTGCTTTTCATCACTCTGAATATTTCTTGCCACTCCCTTCTGGCCTGCAAAGTTTCTTTGGAGAAATCAGCTGACAGCCTTATGGGAACTCCCTTGTAGGTAACTAGCTGCCTTTCTCTTGCTACTTTTAAGATTCTCTCTGTCTTGAACCTTTTGCATTTTGATGATGATGTGTCTTGGTATGGGCCTCTTGGGGTTCATCTTGTTTGGGACTCTCTGTGCTTCCTGGACTTGTATGTCTGTTTCCTTCACTAAGTTAGGGAAGTTTTCTGCCATTATTGTTTCAAATAGGTTTTCGATTTCTTGTATTTGCTCTTCTCCTTCTGGCACCCCCAAGATGCGAATGTTGGCATGCTTGAAGTTGTCCCAGAGGCTCCTTACACTATCCTCATTTTTTTTGGATTCTTTTCTCTTTTTGCTTTTCTGATTGGGTGTTTTTTGCTTCCTTATATTCCAAATCGATGGTTTGCTTCTTGGATTTACATACTCTACTGTTGACTCTGTGTAAATTAGTCTTTATTTCAGTTAATGCCTCCTTCAATTCTGACTGTACATCCATCATTTCTGACTGGTCCTTTTTTATGCTCTTGAGGCCCTCACTAAGTTCACTGAGGTTCTAACGGAATTCATTGAGCATCCTTATAAGCAGTATTTTGAACTCAGCATCTGTTAGGTTGCTTATCTCCATTTCGCTTAGTTCTTTTCTTGGGGTTTTGTTCTGTTCTTTCATTTGGGACCTGTTTCTTTGTCTCCTCATTTTGGCTGCCTCTCTGTGTTTGTTTCTGTGTATTACTTAACGAGAGGTATGGGGCTAGCTGAGACCAGATGCTGCTTGTTTGAAAGAAATTAGGAAAACCTGAAGCAGGATCCAAGACAGGCCAATCCTATGGTAAAGCAACTGGCAACAGCTTGGGTGGGCCTGAAAGTTGGGTGGGGTGGGGCCTCAGGGAGTCAGCAGGGCGGGGCTACCAGTGTGAGCCAGGTTGCTGGAGTCCCAGATATGGCTTCTGTCTGCGGCCCCCAGGAAGGGCTCACCAAAGGAACAAAGGCCTCTGACAGCACGTTTGTCCCGGAGAAAGCCCCCTCTCCAGCCCTCGCTCCAGTGCCAAACAGCTCACTTCTTCCCTGTGTGTCTCTGGTGCCCCTCCAGCTGCCTCCCCTCCAAGCTTAGAGGGAGAGAGTTCGATAAGTCTGTGCGTGGGCCCTTTAAGGGCTGCCTGGGGCTCCGGCTGCTTCAGCCTCCCTGAGCCTCAGTTCCCGCTGGTTTTTCCACCAGAAGTTATGGGGATTCTCTTCCTGGCACTGGAACCCTGAGCGGGGCACCTGGTGTGGGACGGGGACCCCTCAGTCCTCAGGAAGGACCTTCCCAGCCGAGGTATCCTCCTGATTTTTATTCGCCAAATATGGGTGTGGGACCAGCCCGTCTACCTCTGCCCCTCCTACCAGTCTCGATGGGGCTGCTGCTTTATTTATTTATTTAGTGGTACATGCCCCTAGCAGGAACCAAACCCGGGGACTCTGGTCTGCAGGTCAACGCTCTACCACTGAGCCAAACTGGCCAGGGCAGGGGCTGCTGCTTTAATTCCGTAGTTGAAGGACTTCCATTCAGCTCAGTGTCAGGTGGTTTTGAATGATGGTTGTTCTGTAGTTTAGTTGTAACTTTGATGTGGTTGTGGGAGGATGCGATACCGTGTTTACCTACACCACCATCTTGACGGGAAGTCCCCAAATTTTATTTTTAAAAGAATTTAAAATATGTTTTTATTGCTTTTTAGAGAGGAAGGGAAAGAGAGAGAAACATCGATCAGCTGCCTCCTGCACGCTTCCTACTTAGACTCAAACCCAAAACCCGGGCATGTGTCCTGACTGGGAATAGAACTGGTGACCTGCTGGTACATGGGATGATGCTCAACCAAGTAAGCCACACCAGTCGGGCTAACCCCAGTTTTTATTCTCCATTTTCAGTAAGTTAAGTTATTATATGGGAAACATGCCTGGTAGAACCATATACGTTCAGCTGAAACTGTCTCTATAGAAAACAGCAGGCTGATGGTGAAATAAAATAACACTCTCTCTTCTCTCATCAGGTTGATCTTTAAATAAAAGTCTATCAAGTAAAGAGCTTTCATGAAGAAATTAGAGACATTACAAGTAATAGAGAAACTAGGCATTTGCATACTGGAGAAACCACCTCAAACAACTGTATGGAATAAGATGAAGGGAGTAAATACATCTGGAAGAAATTTTGCTTAGTATGATATTTTTGCCCAGCTTTTTGTCATAAACAGCTGCAAAGAAAGAGAGAACATCATTTTCTAGAGAAAGAAGAGTGTAATGTAAAAATGGAGGCCCCAGTTTCTGAAATTCAAGTAGAAAGCAAGGATGAGAAGAGATCAGCAGAAGTTAGTCCGCAGGATGAGAAGCAGGAGGAAAAGGCATCAATGCTTTGCTTCAAGAGAAGAAAGAAATCATTCAAAGCAATGAAGCCCAAAGCTGGCACAGATGCTGTTGATGTGGCAAGGAAGTGTCCTTCAGGAGCAGGGGCTTCTGATCAGCCACAGCCCCCAGGAGGGGCCTGGGCCTCAATAAAACGTCTTGTAACACACAGGAAAAGGTCAGATTCTTCAAAGAAGCAAAAGTCCTTTGAGGCTAAAGTGCAACCTGAAATCAATACTGAGGATGCTAATCTTTCTAAGAAAAAGGCAAAATCCAGACTCAGGATTCCCTGCATAAAATTCTCAAAAGGGGAGAAAAGAAGTCGTCATTCTGAAATTATAGAAGATGCAGACTGCAGCGTCAATGTTCAGGGAAAGGCTGAAAGGTTGGATACAAAAACTCCAACCCAATCAGATGACCAGGCAACAAAGACCAAGTTGGCCCAGGATGTAACTGGAGATGTCTCACAACAAAGGGGTGATGAAGTCTGTGAATCAAATGTGAACAACAGCAGAACTTCTCCTGGAGAGAAAGTGATTTCAGTAGAACTTGGGTTAGACACTGGGCATTATGCTCTTCAAACAGGAACTCAAATCCTTGAAAAAGACATTGAAACAACAGAGGAAAAAACAAATATACAGCCCCAGCAAACAAGTCCAGTTGAAACTTCAGAAATAGAACATCAGCTACCAGTGGTTTCTGATGCTCCCCCCTCACCTGCAATCCCAGATCAACAAATTATGGAGGAAGCTAGAAACAATATCCCAGAAAGTGGACCAAACTGGAAAGACTATGAAAGTGGAGAAATTGTAGCTGAAGAGATTAAGCCAAAAGATACTGAATTGAGCCAGGAATCAGATTTTAAAGAAATTGAGATCAGTGCAGAGAAACCCAAATCAGAAGAAAACAAAAGAATGGAGCCAATTGCTATTATTATTACAGACACTGAAATTAGTGAATTTGATGTTAAGAAATCTAAAAATGTCCCTAAGCAATTCTTAATTTCAATTGAAAATGAGGAAGTAGGGGTTTTTGCTGAGTGTGGTTTTGAGGGTAGAACTTCAGAACAATATGAAACACTCTTAATAGAAACAGCTTCTTCTCTTGTCAAGAATGCTATCCAGTTGTCTATAGAACAGCTGGTTAACGAAATGGCCTCTGGTGATAATAAAATAAACAATCTTCTCCAGTGACTCAATTTTCAGATCATGGAGGAGAAAAAAGGTTTAACGATGAATTATTTTGCATATTTGTGGCATTTCTTATTTAGTAACAAATGAGAGATTTTCATCTGTGGAATTTAAAGGTACAATCTCAGCCCAGAAGTGCTAAGGAATTAATCAAGTTTATAAAACCCTGCCTACCACGAAAATGCAATCACTTCTGGATGGAGGAAGTCAGTACAGATCGCAATGCAAAGTGACATACAGGGAGTTGCTAAAATGGCATGTGGAGATTGGGGTGCCTGGGGAAAGGAAGATGTATTTATTGAGCACTTACAATATGCCACAATCTCTTCCATGTCCTCTGATGTCACAAAGCCTGGTTTCCTTTTGATAGTTCAACTGTGTGTACAGGTTAACATTGCATTCAGTTTTCAAAAACTTTTTGTTACAGTGCACATTTATGTTAAAACGGCGAATAAGGTGAGCTTTTTTGGTGTGTGGATGTGTTATAGATGCTACACTCCTAGGTAGTAGTCTTACCTAAAAAAAAAAATGCATTTTCCCAATTTCAGCAGAATGTGCAAGTTGAATTAAACATGAGTGGTTTCTAGTCTTGCTCAAGTCCCTTACAAAAGCCATTCATAAATTACTTCAACAAGCCAATTACCAAGTGCAAGGCTGTGGGAACAGGGAATGCATTTTCCCTCTCCATCTTCCTTCTGCCCCAAAGAGACTTATATAAATCCATTTCTGCACAGGATCATCTGATGAAAAGGTAAAAACAAGAAAAACAACAGCAACAACAAAAACAAAATGAGTGGAATATTATTTTCCATCCAGAAGGCAGACTTCCTAAGGAACAAGTCATCACAGCTAACATGGATTCATGTTGCAGGATTACTTCTCTAGAGACCATGTTTATCAACTCTCCTCCGAGTGGGGAGAGTGGATTCAAAGCCAGTCTGGCAATAAAAGTCCTAGGAAATCATAATAACTTACTAAAACCTATTATTCATTTTCAACCAAAAATGAGCCAAGTACAAGGTTGAATAGGAAGTAAAAAGTTATTGCTAAAGAACTCTATATGTTAAATGTCAGTATTCTTTTATTGTGCCTCTATGTTGAAAGCCCAGTAAGAAACATTTCACATGGACATTTAAAATTAAATTTTTCATCATTTTTTTTCTCCAATACAGCTAATCCCTTACCAAAAAAAAAAAAAAAAAGAACTTAGAACAATGAGAAGGGCTTATTTACATTTTATTCAGTTATTTAAGTCATTGATCTTATCAATGATTGCCATACTTTTTGAAAAAGTGATTCTATTTCAATCTCTTTTTGTGGCCATAATACTATAATACGTTTCCTTACCTCATAGGTTAGGCTTCATATTGTATAGTCCCCCACTATCTAGATTGAGTGACAGTGTTACTCTGAAAGTAGATAAGTAATGAAGAGCTTTTATTAGAGTTAAAGAGCATTTGTACATTCCTAGAAAAAATAATGTACATTAGATGCTTTTAAATGATCTGGTAACTTCTTGAGTTATTTATTGATTGCATATAGAAAGTATGTGCTAAACTGTCCTGTAGAATCTTTTGTTTCTGTAAGTACATATTGAGACCTCTGGCAGAAGAACCTAATCTAACTTTGGAACTGAACTAAATAATGAACGTTATCAGCAAGATTCTTTGCTGAAGCGTAAAAGTATTCCCCCAGATTTTCCTACCTTCATGCTTATAAACTTGGGAGAGGGGAACCCACCCAAACCCTTCAATTTAGCAAGATGAAAAGTAGATCTTTCAAAACAAATGATCCCCCAAAAAACAATTTTTTATTTGTATAACTTTTAAATGTTAATAAAAAAGACAGCTGAGTCAACTTCCCTAAAAATACTCTTTTTAATTCACTATATGTGGTGCTAATGGACTTGGACAGCTACCAGCAAATATCATATATTTAAAAGTAAACAAATTTAAAACCCTGATTAAAATTGGTACATTTTACAGTGTTTTGAAGAATCTCATCTTCATTTACTGCAAGGATGGCTCAAGCCGATATACTTACATTGTAAGTTTTTAATCTTTCATAAGTGAGGAAAAAGTACAGCATTTATCAGTTATTGAAAATATTTTGAAAGGTTTAAGCATATTTGGGAGTTTTAAAAACAGATATGAGGTAAATATGTGTAATGAATATTTTTGTTAAGAAAGTAACATTTTGCCCTGGCCAGTGTGGCTCAGTGGTTAAGCATCGTCCCATGCACCAAGAGGTCACCGGTTCTATTCTGTTAGAGCACATGCCAGGGTTGCAGGCGCCTTGATCCCTGGTGGGTGGTGTGGGTGATGTTTCTCTCTCTCTCTCTTAAAAAAAGAAACATTTTAACTTTTTCTTTTATCTAGGTCCTGTGTTTCTACTCCCTCCCCCACTGTGATTTGATATATATTTTTTATTAGAATATATTATAATGGATTGTTTTTATGATGAGTGTACTTCACTTGCATTTATTCTTAAGTGGTTTCACCTCACTCTTTTCTATGGAAAATATCTGGTAAATTGAGTAAGTAGGATTCCAGTTTGATAAAGGAATCTAGCCCTAGCTGGTTTGGCTCAGCAGTTAGAGCATGCCCTCAGATCAAAGGGTCTTGGGTTCAATTTCTGGTCAAGGGGGGTTCAATTTCTGGTCAAGGGCTCCTATCTGGGTTGCAGGTTTAATCCCTGGCCCTGGTCAGGGTCGATCAGGAGGCAACCAATTGATGTGTCTCTCTCACATCGATGCCCCCCCACCCCATTCTATCTAAAAATCAGTGGAAAAATATCCTTGGGTGAGGATTAACAAAAAAAGTAAAGAAAAAGGAATCCAATCCAGACATTAATTGGTTTCAATCTGATTATATCTTCTCTGTGGCTAAATCCTACTACAGTCAATTCTAAAGTGATCTAAATTGTTTTGTTATAGAAATAATTAGGGCCTGGCTGGTGTGGCTCAGTGGTTGAGCATCGACTCCTGCACCAAGAAGTCGCCAGTTCGATTCCTGGTAAGAACACATGCCCAGGTTGTGGGCCCGATCCCCAGCAGGGAGCATGCAGGAGGCAGCCAGTCAATGTTCTCTGTCATCGATGTTTCTATCTCTTTCTCCATCTCCCTTCTTCTCTCTCTAAGGTCAATAAAGAAAAAAAAAATTATTAAAAAAATTAGGGATAAGATGACTTGAAACCCCTCTTAAAACTTTATTATAATGGGCCCTGGTCAGTTTGGCTAAGTGGTTAGAGTGTAGGCCAGGGACCAAAGAGTCAGGGGTTCAATTTCTGGTCAAGGGCACATACCTCGGTTGCATTTCAGTCCCTGGCCTTGGTTGGGGTCATGCAGGAGGCAATCAATGTGTCTCTCTCACATTTATGTTCCTTTCTCTCTCTCCCCCTTTTATTCTATCCGAAGATAAATGGAAAAAAACCCGCACTGAGGATTTAAAAAACGATTATAATGATATTTTAAGCAATTTTATTTAAATTTTTAAAAGTATATCTTTATTGATTTTAGAGAAGAAGGGAGAGGGAAAGAGAGATAGAAGCGTTAATGAGAGAGAAACATCAATTGGCTCTCTCCTGCAGGTCCCCTATTGGACATCAAGCCCGCAACTGGGGCACATGTCCTGACCGGGAATTGAACTGGCAACCTCTTGGTGCACAGAATGATCCTCAATCCACTGAACCACGCCGGCCAGGCTAAGCAATTTGATTTTATATGTAAGATAGTAAATGAATATAAATAGGTTCTTATTCAACTCACAATCCTTTAACAATATTAAAATGATCATTTAAAAGTCAATTTAATAACAACACATTAATTTTCATTTAAATTTGCTGTGGTATAAATACTGCCTTTAATGAACATTAGTGGGGATTCAGTTTATCTTTAAACTCAGAAGTTTATAAGACTAGTTGGTTTATCAGATACTTAAAATTTTCAGCATATTCTCTTCCCTCTTTTAAGAATCAAGTAGTATTCAGTTTGCTTTACAACCCAGTGAATATAAAAATTCTCCTGTTTTTTAAAAAAGTTTTTATTGATTTTTTAGAGAGAGAAATATCAATATGAGAGAGAAACATCCACCAGCTGCCTTCTATTCTCCCCCTACTGGGGATCGAGCCGGCAACCCAGGCATGTGCCCTGACCAGGAATTCAACTGGGACCTCTCTGTCCATGGGACACTGCTCCATCCACTGAGCGTCATCAGCCAGGCTACTCCTCTATTTTATGTAGCATTATTTACTTAACATTTTCTCAGAGTACTTTATAGGATATAAAAATAGTACCTGGTAATATTTAGGTAAAGGTGGCAGAAAACAAAAGAAATTTCGAACAGAAATTATGTTCCCTGCCACCTCCACTTTGAAGAATAGTAAGCATGTGGCACAAACGGAGTTCTTCAGGAAAGCCGTCCACATCATTTCCTTCCAAGGTAATCTGACAGTATGATGTCTGTGGTGATCTTAATTGGTCTGCTATTTAATGGAGTCTTAGAAACTCTCTGATTTATTTCTGAGAGATTGTGTTCTTTTCACCAGTATGTGTGAATAGCCTTCCTGCTAAGGGCATTTAAAGATATGGATCATAACAGGGCATGCAATTCTGAGTTAACTTCATAAATTTCTAACTTCAAGTTGCCTTATTTTTTACAGTTAAGAATTTTTTTCCAGGATTACTAGCAGAATTTTAAAAATAGTTGTTAAACTTTAGAATCCCATTATTGAAAAGATCCTTTTAATGTCAACTTTATTTAACTATGTAAAGTCTTTCTAATTTCATCTGACATTTAATACAGCAGGGTTGACTTTCCTGCCCATCATTTAAGGTTAGAATTCTTTAGATCAAATTCCTATGATGTTTTATTGTGTGACATGAAGTTTCTTACTTTACAGAATTCAAAATTTCAATGTATAATACATTTTATGGTACATTTAAAAATAATTTTTGTAATGACCCTTATTTAGTTATAAAAATTTAACAGAAGGAAACTACATAAAATTTAGATGTCCTGGTTAAATTCAATATGCTTCAACGTGTTGTGTATAAAATATGTCCAACACTGTGGTAAAGGGGCAGGCTCCCTGCCCTCCAAGAGCTCAACCTAGGGAGCGGTACAAATAGCCCCCAGACCGGGGTGAAGGCAGACAGCCACAGGTAGTGTAGCATCACGAGTGCCATGGAGGGAAGAATAAAGAAAAACAATTTTATCTGGTGTGGGAGGGAGATGGTCATATAAATACAGGGGCAGTTTGAAGGCATTCAGTTTGTAAATAAACAGTATATTCGTTCTGGTTTCTGAACAGGTGCAGAAAAATGCCTGCACAATGTTATATATTTATTGTTCTTTGTCTGTAAAAGGTTAAGTGGATGAGCTGTTACAAAAGTAAAAGTTCCATTTTTTATTTCTCATTAAAATTAGTACTATATTACTGTGGATCAGATACTAATATCAAGAAATAATACTCTACAAAAAAGTTTTCAACCTGAATTAATACATGTACTATTAATACATAATAAATGTTATATTGGCTTCTGTTTATTTTATTCAAATCTTTTCAAGAGAAACATGGTATATTACTTTCATTTCCTAAAACTTAAAGATCACACTGATGAAATTACTGAGTTAAAACTACAAAAGAGTTCTACTCTGCCGACTGAGCCAGACTGTACAATGACAGGCCTAAGCCCACCTCCAGCAAAGAGAAACACAAACACCTAGATGTTGGACTCAATTTCACTGACCTAATTCCATGTAAAGGGCAATTCTGACTTTGATGCCTTCTATGAATTTGACCGAAGTGCACTTGTTTTCATCATCTCTTCCTATACTTGTTTCTACTTTATATTAAACTAAAAATTACTAATAATTTTTATGGTTTTCCAAATAACCAAGCAATCTTGATGTGAAAATGTTTAAATTACTCAGATTCCTGCTAAACCTGAGTATTTCAAAAGTTCTGAGTGTTTCAAAAGTTTATTAAGAAACTGATTTTATTACCCTCAATATTGACAACCCTGTTTTTTCTTAAGCACAGCCCAATAATAATTGGACTCTGTGAAATAGTGTACTTTCCAATCTCTGGACCAATTTAAAGTTGATAGTGTCTTAAAAGTCCTAAAAATAAACTTTGTCCCAAAGCAAAATGTTTTATTAATGTATAAACACTGTACATAGGGTGTTTAATATTTCACATTTTGTAGAATTTTTAAATCACATCTAATATAAAAGATACACTACCTTTCACAAAACTTGTCCTCACAGGCAATTCTAATTTTCTTTTTAGATCTACCTTTAATGCTCAAGTCTGAAACCTCCCGCCCCTTTGTGAGTATCTACGCCACCCCTTGCCCTCAAAAGCTTGAGAT